TAGTCTAGGCCTTTTCGGTCGGATTGCGTTGCCTCGCCTCTACCCCCGCAGCCTGTTCCGAGGATTTACGGACCTGACGACGGAGTGTGCTCGCGGCTCGCACCAACGGGATGCGCCCGCCATTCAGAACCTGAAAACCTAGTGCGGTTCGGCAGCCTCGTCCTGGCTGTCCGCCGTGCGCCTCCGGGTACCCAACTCTCTTAACTCTCTGCAAGCGTTTTTGATTAAAAAAGAACAGCAACTACAATTTTAGACGGAGCTCCATAATGACTAGTGCTATTTTTAGAACATGTCTTGCGGGCGACTCATGTGGTCCCTACGGGCGACAGGGTGCCCGCGGGCACCGTGTTGGCTACCTCTGAACTAGACCTATCTTACCTCACCCACTATCTGCAATATCGTTCCTTAATTAACATAGACACATGTACAGGTATGAGGCGTACTCGCTGACCGACAAAATGCACTTTGTGGTATTTATACATCATGAACCCAGAATGCATAGCGTCTTTATTTTGTGCTAATGAAGATCTTTCTGAGTTCCTGCTTCATTCGTCAGCTCAGAGAACATTTACGAATGATGGGAAAAGAAACATTAAACGGATAAATACTGTGAGTAAGTACAAAGTGTTCTTAGAAAAATATCACAGTGTACTCCAACACGCTCACAGGGATGTAAATACAACAGGACAATAAATAATAGAACAGAATACAAAAGGAAAGTCTCTTGACACCTCAAAGCGTTGGCAAGACGTCTCTTCACTGGATCCATGTTCCACTAATTTCAGGGAGAAGAAATTTGATTATTTTTTTTTCTGACGCTTTTGGCAAGGACTTGCAACAAACTGCAGCATAAAGACGCCTCCCTGTAGATACAGGTGAACACACGCTGTTGTTTAAAGCAATAATGTGTAAAGGAAGAATATCACTACAAAATATCTTTGTGAGGGGAAAGCGGGGGGGGGGGGGGGGGGGGGGGGGGGGGGGGGGGGGGGGGGGGGGAGTGTGTTAACCAAGTCAGTCATTCAGGAGGGGGTTTGATTTGGGTCGGCAAGTCTTTTATTTAACATTAATATCTGCAGTACACTTTTAAGGCACACGAGGGAGCCTGAATGTTTGTATCGGTCTGATAATCGTAGACAACCGATAACATTTAATCTTGTATGAAAGGCTAGCGTTTAACGGATGAAAGGAAATGAAACCGTTAAATCCACCTACATGCATTTATTTGCTCTCATTTATAAAGTAATTCAGTGTTTTCAATAACATATACATAAAACAGTTGTGATTTTTCAAAAGTATATCGCTACAAAATGGCTGTCAGGAACATTTATTTGCACACAAATTCTCTCTTTTCACGATTTATAGATTGTGTAGATTATAAATTGTGAATTGGGTCGCGATAGTTTGTCATTTTTTAAAAACTGGGTCCCAGTTTGGGAATCGCTGCATGAAGTAACATGTAGTAAAATATCCATTAGACTTCAAAGCCGTGGCTTGAAATCTCCCCTCTGTCATCTCGTGGTACAAGACAGAAATTGGATGGATATTTTGGTCTCTGACATTCCAGTGCAATGTTGTTGCAACTCAGTGGACTCCTATCAGACCGGGTATGAAGCAATTTCAGATAGTGGACAGTACTCGTAGATTCCCATTTAGACCCACTAACAAGTTCAAAGAATATCATGAGATACTTGTGCTCGATCAGCTGGTGATTGGCTTGAGCTTTAGAGGAGCATTGATGCATTTGTGACATGTAGCCCACGGGAAATAAACAAGGTGGTTCTCTTGGCTATTGTTTTTGCATGAAAGGCACAACTAAGACTCCTAAAAGCTCAGTGCTCTATTGCATCAGCAAACTACCAACGGCGGATATTTAAGAAGCCTCTTTGTACCCTAGAGCTGTTCAAGATTCTACTTGAAGTAGCAACAGAGTGGCAAAAACAAAGAAACTACAAAGAGACAATCTGGCTGGGCCTGAGTGTCACTGTTGACAGTCACGAAGCTGTTTTGGACACACTTAAGTGTGGCTTTATGGAGAAATTTGCCACTTTGTATATGGATGCCCAATTAGTGTTGATGGTGAATGTAGTTGACAGAAGCAATGAATTCCCTTGTGTGCTATATTGACGCAGAAATCGGAGTTTTCCTGCTGCAAAATCTGTTTTACTTCCTGCATTCAGTGATGTAGTTGAACTACAAACTACTTCGGCCTGTATTTCTCTGGGTAGCCAGCATGGGGGCGCCATGCTCCAGATGACGCTCAAAAATGCGACTTCCTTAACCTGTTGTTTGTTCAATTGTGTAGATAAAGTTAAAAAAAAATCTTGTATTGCAAAGTAGTTGCATTGCAAACAGGGAACATTGTATCAAAAATATGAGAAGTACTGATGATGTAATGGATGAGGAGAACTGTACTTTCTCTGTAAATACAGCAGGAACTGAAGGACGTATTGCTTAAATGGACTACAACTACCATCAACACTGATTGGACATCAACATCACACATGACGGATTTTCACTTTCAGATATACAAATGGAGGCCTTCTGTTGGTCCGGTCTCAAGTACAATATCTCCACAACGATGAGACAGGTTGTCATGGCATTAGGTACAGACATCAGGGGTCATGAATGCTCATGACTTTGATGGTCAGCTGACCTTTCACCTCGCGCCAACATCAGGTCAAAATTGCAATTGTACTTATATTTTGGTTTCTTAACAAATGAATGATATTTTCATCAACTAGATTTTTTTTTTGTTTCGTGCTAATTAGCGAAAGCTATCATGCTAACACATTGAACTAAGATGGTAAACATGGCAAACTTGTATATTCTTAACACTGTTATTGAGAGCATAGTACTTGCAGCATTTAGCTCAAAGCCGTGTGCCAAAGTCAACTCTGTCTTTGTCAAAATAATGTTCCCATACAGCTAGACTGCACCCTCTATCATGTTTCAAGGGAAAGATATTCTCTCCTGGATTATGGTTGCAGTAATAAACATGTGGTTAACGCTGTAAATTGTAGCAATACAAAACTAAAATGCAACAAAATGCCTTGGTTATGTTCCGGCAATTAAAGTACTTGGTTAGGGCCGATCAAACAATCCCGACCCCCTCGCTACGTGAACTTCAGCGGACTAGGAGGATGAATAATGGACACTAATGGACGAGTGTCCCGATGTGGCTGTTGGACCCACAGACCATCACGTCAGAGATAAACTGGATTCTGCACTAAAACTGGGCCATCAGAACAACCAGTAGGGGACACCAGGAGCTCAGTCCTAAACTAAATATATTGGCTTTATTCAGACAAACAAACACAACTTTTAACTCTTTTTCACAATGGAAATTTGAATTATGGTTCATACTTGTGATGTTAATGATGACAATAGTGTTGAATGCTTTTTTTTTTTTATTCGTTCAAACTCATCTCAGAGACGGATTTGCTTTACATTTCTCTGTTTGAAGGGTCAATTCTTCATCTGACATGGGAAGATTACAGCTGCAGCTGTTTAAATCCCTTTCCATTGAACTTGGTTCAAAAACAACATGCAGGCATACTACCACTGATGGAAGTGGAGGGTATTTCTGTGGAGATTGAATTCATTACTGACCTACATCACGGTTAACACTGTTTATATCTTCATAAAAAGAAGCAACCGTGACTTATCTTAAGATGCACAACGACAAACAGCAAGTTTTCATCATGTATGTTTTTTTCAAACTATAAAAAAGACACGTTTCTGGAGAGTTTGGACTCTCAAATGATGCATGCTGGGAAGTCTGCTAATATGCTGATCATGTTTCTTTAAAAACGTAATTTAATGAGTTGAGCGGACTCTCAGTAGTTCATTTATTCAACTCGGTTCTGAAGTGGTCTGTATTTCAAAAACAGAAAAGTTACATTTAATTAACTTGAAGTTATTAAAAAGTATATATTTATGTTGAGTTAATGAGAATAGATGAGTTGTTTCCACTAAATTCCTTCATGATGTTTTACAGTGTACATAATTCTCATGTTAAGCCTCCAGCCTCAGTGATTAAAGTCAGATCATGATGAAAGAAAAAAGGAGCAATCAATAATTGTACTTCACATATTTTGCATGCCTGTCAAGACAACAATTACATCCTCTGTGCTACTGTTTACCGTACCACCAATATATATAATTGCTTTGAAATGCATGCATATGCTTTAATCTCTAAATGAAACATTTTCCCATTAAAAAACCTCTCACAAGCTGTTTCCCTCTCATTGAGGTACATTATAAGAGATAGGATGAAGCGTACTGGATGGCATAAATAGCATCTCCAAAGCCCACCTGAAAGGCTCAACTCGAGTGCGTCAAAGTACTTGAAAGAGATTTAATTGTAAGGGGGGGGTGCATGACAGCTTATCAATAGAAAGAGGGGGATTTAGGAGAAGCAAAACACTAGCAGAAGGCGCTAAGATTCTGCAAATAACGAGACCAGTATTGCTGGAGTCCCCGACAGATGGAGGCGAAAACGAACCTGGCTGCAACATTTCCTGGTTGCTCAGCACCACCTGGACGTAATGAATGCGTTGTCGGCCAAGGAGGCATGTGAGACGAAGTCAAACTGTCTACTCAGACACGTTGCTGAGTGCAGGTCTGCTGCTTGTCCTTGATATAGGTCATCTTGGTCCCGCAGATATGCTCATGAATATTGATACAAGTAGATGGACTTAAACACTGATGATCAAAAACTAAATATTTTTTCAACATAGAATATGAACCGCTAAAGGAGACGGCCATGTAAGTGGGCATCGGATCAGAAATCCCACAAGGTGGAGTGTTGGAGGTAAAGGCTTCCAGTGTCATGCGCTCACATTGTATCAATCATAACTGTACTGACTGTGCAGTGGACTGTAGAGCACTTTGAATTTAATTTACAGAGAAATCTAAAGGAACATTCACGTTCTGCCCCCGCAGCTAATGTATGGCAGCTTCCAGTCAGAGTCCTGAATAAAAGAGAGATGACTCACTATGCATCCGGTGGAGTCCAGCTTTCGGTCCGATATGCAGCGGAAGTTGCGGCTGCAGCCTCCGTTGTCTTTGGTGCAGTCTCTGACGGGCCCGAACGAGTCGAGGAGGACCTCCAACGAGTCGAAGGATGAGCTGATCATCAACTCCTCTCTGTTAAAGTGGAAATGAGTGACAAAAAAAGGAAAGGAAAGAGGATCCTTGTTTAGTTGTGTGCACCTGTGTTTGTGTGTTATTACTACTGAGGACTGATTTGAGTTTTCAGCGTACAATGCGTCATTTATTGAGGCTTGCTGGGTAGATGAGGGACTGTTGGTGCACATCCAACAATGATGTCATGGCGAACTGACACACCTCTACATCACTGCAGCAACGTGACAAGTTAAACCACTTAAGGTGAACAAAACGTTTGTTACAGACGATTTCATGAACAGACTTTCAGAAATACGTCCATTTTGGTGGACTTAGGCACACCGTTACATTGTGTACATTAGATCCAGATCCTGCCGTCATCACCTACGTGAACTGCGTCTCCCTTTAATTGGCATTGATTGGGGAGTGGACGGGCTATCATGCCTCTTGTATCGTCTCTCTCTTATCCTCTGAGAAAATAATTGAAGAGTGTCAGAATTGTTGTGCATTCTTTTCCAAAAGGCTTTTTATAAAGTCGTCACATCAAATGTTAACGAAAAACTTGTTCTCTTCCCCCGATTTTGTTACCACGGCTCATTTAGTTTTGTTTGCCTTTTTCCATTTCTGATAGCAGCCTGACGGAACCTACTGTAATTATTTTGAAGGTCCTAACCATCTGATACATGTTTTCACTCTAGAGACATACCATGGTTCAAGTTGGTCTGGACCAGGACCACCTCTGTTAGTCGGACCAAGGTCCGGCTGTTTAGTCCTGACCGTAGTCCAGGGGAGGTTTCATACCTGTCATTTTGGTTTGGATCAAAAAACAGTACAAAGACTACTAGTTTGTAACAATAGCATTTTGTTTTATATATTCTTATGGACTGTGTCTGTTGTGGTTTTTATGTACAGACAGTGTGTGCCTATTGACCAAGAACATCTCTTTTGACAGTTAACAGTTTGGACAGATGTCTAAAGGCTCTTAAAGGTACCGTTTATTTTACCATTTCTTTCATGAGCACAGTAAAAATCCATAGTACCGGTATATGTCTGCAACAGATAAAAAAAAGCCCCATTTCCCCTTATCTAATACCTGGACAACGCTTAAATTGAAGTCAGATGTTGATGGAAATAGCGGGAGGAAGGGTTTGAAAAAAAGAAAGAGAAGTTTCTTTCGCACAATTGTCCCTTAACGTCTCTGACATTGCGGACTTGTACCGCACCATAACGTTGTTTGCCATGAGGAACGCCACTTGGCTTGTAGTCTTTACATTATAAACGTGGGTAACGGTGGATTTTCTCCCTCTAATTTTCTTCAAAACAAGCATTCATTTGGTTACCTTTCCCTTCTTCTTGGACAAAGCAGTGCATAAGCTACCAACTGGACTGGAGTGTGGAACTAAACTGGAGCATGGGCAGTCGGCGCTCTTACAGATGCGTACAGGCCGCTTGGTCACAAACTTTGAGCTGCACATGGATGGTGCATGGGGTCCTCGTGGACATGGACGGTGTGGACCCTTACAGACATGCGGACGTGGAAAGTATAATTTGGAAATGGTGTTGCAAGTTATATCAACTTCAAGCTAATGAGTGAAATCCAGTAGTTAATTAGTAATGCCTTCCTGTCAGCAACATGCTTCATTAACGTTGATTCAGATATCACATTTCTTGAGATCATGTTTCATGTGTAAAAGGGAGGGACGTGCTCCCTCAACATTGTGCTCATGCTGTGACATCCTGCTCTCTATTTCACCTATTGAAGAGATATCTATTTCCATGAATTACAAACACCTGCATGTTTAATTAATTCTGTGCAATCACGGCACAATTACTATGCAAGGTAGTAGACTTGCGAGATGAAACACGCCATGAACCCCTTTGCTCTAACCTCGCTCTGAGCAGTCACTATGTGTTTCGGTGATTTTGGCGTTCCCCGTAAACCTCTTGCAAGGTCAAAAAGCAGATCAGCCAATAGAAGGACAGCAATATACGCGTTTGGGATCGGTGGAGATGAAGAACAAAGCGGAGAGGACCTCAGTGTTTTCCCACAGACGAAAAGTGCTACTCGTGATAAACAAGAACTCGTGTAATAGCATCGCCATGAACCTTGTCTTGGTAAAGAACATGGTGACCTCTCAGGCACTCATTTTTTTCCCTCACCAAACTCCCTGTTCTCCTCTACTCTCCCCATGAGAAAGGACAGCAAGTTCCCTTTCCTCTTCACAGTAAACTTGATGGTATCTTACAAACCAATTCTTCTTTTATAATTGCCCATTGCTTTGTTGTCATTTATTCAGAGGGGACCTCTTGAACAGAGCCTCGGCAGATGATGAAACTCAGAGCAAGTGTGAATGCTAAATTATTTGGGAACTGCAATTACAGTCGAGACACATCCAACGGTTGTGTGCAACACAACATACCAATAAATATCAAGCAAAAGAAAAAAAAGCCATGTTTGGTTTCTCTTCGGTGAAGCTACTGCAACATTCATCACATCCCAGAATACGGAAGTGCTGGATAGATTGGTTATCATTCATTGCGGTCCTTAGAGCGTCACTAAAATATCTTAGGTTTGTCCAAAGGGGGTCGGATAATATCTACATGTTTTTTTTTCCCTTTGGCAGCATGAATGTGTGTGAGATACATATACAGTGTCCAACCCACACCTCCCTTTCCAAGCGAGTGGAATAACCTACAGTGGCCTTCAGGTGAATCAGCACCACCAAATGTAAGCTCCCCCTTCAGCGTGAAATCGTGAAAGTCCCTTTCTAGAGCCAGTGTTTGGTTTGTCCGTTTCGGGCTCTTGTAGAAACATGGTGGTGCAACATGGCGGACTCCGTGCATGGTTTGATGCGAATGGATGTTCCAGAGGGATGAATGGTTAGGGTTCAGATAGCCTATTGCTGTAAGTACATGTGCAAAATCGGGCCAGCGTCCCTCCGGACCATCCATCCTAGCATCAACCCTGTGGGAGAGGACCAATAGATGGTCCTTCCAAGGGTACATTCTGCTCAGTAGCTTGTATTTCTTGGGTAAAAAGTGTCAATGCTCTACTAATGCTGTCTCCAGAGAAATGGTCAAGGAGTTACCAAAAATATTTGGATTCATCAGCAGGAGACGATGAAGTTCTACAGGATTTTAAATGTAAATTCGGCAACTAATTGTATAAATATCTTGACACAAACTCTTTCATGTATGTATCATTACAACGACTTGTATATTCGCAGTCCTAGGACTTCCAGTTTCCCTCTTTGAATGAAGAATACAGGCTACTGCCACCTACTGGTATGGAGAGTTATTTCCTCTCACACAGGCACAGAACGCATGTGGTAGCTGGCCGTTGACTGAAGTCTTTGCAGTATGTTCAAGTGCAACTTTTTGGCCAAGACAGGCGACATGAGGCAATGCAACAGTTGGCCTTTGTCACCGCTAGGTTTTTAACGTCGGTTTGGTGTGTTTGGGAATTTAGTCATTAGTTTGATTCCATCTGCATTATTGGACCTCAAAGTGCAAGTAAGGGAAGCAGAGCTTATAGGCGGCATCTAGTTTTCCTTTGCCCAGGAAGGGGTCGCTTTGCAAGGCTAGCTAACTAGAGCAGGGAAGAGTTAGGTGACCTTCAACTTGTTTGGTTGAAGGATGTGGCCATACTGTACAGATTGCATTTACACCTATCGATGTCTGATCAGCAGTTAGCTGAAATCAATGTCAATCATCAATCTGATGGGTTCTTAGCCGTGATACAACACCCACATGCCATGGCTATGACGACTAATTATTTGGCACATTCAAAATCCCTCCATTCAAAACATTTTTCTACATCACGACAGACCGGACAACGTCTCTTAGCTGTGAAAAATCCCAACATACCACGGCCTGTGGTGGGCTATTGCTTATTCATACCACCTTGAAAGAATCTATATCCGTCTGCAAGAGAAATGCTTGTTGTGTTACAAACATATTTGATTTAAAATGGGAAGAAAAGAAATATAACGTATCATTTTGACAACCTATAGGGCGTGCTTAAAAGCATTGGGCACTACCTGGTATATATTTAACATTTTGTCACAAACAGCTGTCTGCAGCTGAGAGAGGTAATAAGCCTCAATTATGGACACCATTAACATGGATAGCAAACAATGAGGGGGCTAGAAGTACATGTGCGTCAAAACAAGCCGCACAAAGAACCATTCATTCATTTGCCACTGAAAAGTACCACCAACGGTTTAAATGCCAAGGTATGCCCTGCAATTTCCTCACATTATCTGGAGATTGAGTTCAGAGAGGAGTGGAAATTACCATCAAAAAGGGGCAGAAATAAACTAAGATTTTAATGTAAAGGTATTTATAAAGATTGCTGCTCTGATGTGTTTGATAAGTGGTTGTTTTTTTTTCAATAATATCGACTCAATTTGCTTTTATATTAAGTAGAAGCAAAGGGGAAATGGAATATGGAGTTTTCAATTAGCGCATTTTGTCTCGCAGCTTAAGATATAAGAAAAGCATGAATAATACAAATGTTTATAACCACCAGGATAGAAGTCTTCTGTATACAGGCTCACGGCTACGCAACAAGAGCACTAATAAACACACTGGGGAAAAAACACCAACGATGATTCCTCATTCAGTCATAACTGCCATGAAGCCAGCTTATCAAGGGAAGGAAGATCAGGGCTAATCACTACTTATCCATCTGCCAGGGAGCAAGAGTGACAAATGATCATCAAACGTGGGGCAACACGGCTCAAAAGCAGAGTAAATCGGCAGCTTCAAGATGCGTTAGCAGTGTTTCCTCGTGGCCCCCGGGGAGAGCTGCACACAGCGTTCATCAGATCCCAGATCAGAGGGAAATGAGTTATTTACACAGCGTCTCGGAAAAGCTGCCAAATGAAAATGAAATGCTGAAAAAGATGGGGGGATTGGAATGTGTAAACATGGCGTGGGGGGTAGAAAACTGCCAAACCGTACCCCAGAACGTAATTTATTTACAGTTAATATGAACAATAGGTAACAGTAGGTAACAAAGGCAACTTTAAACAGAGAGGATTCAACTATAGAAAATACATAGTGCATCACTTCCAACAACGGTATTTGTCAGATATTTGTCAGATATAAGAGGTGAGGAAACAAAACATTTGCTATACTTGTATTTGCAGTGTTGCCATGACTGTATCTATCAAAACCATTTTCATAAAGAACATTGAGAAATAAAGATCATTTGAAATGACATCTGAATTTCAATTGTTCTTTTATTGCCACTTATGACATTTTTAGCCATCGCTATAATAGTTTCAGAATGATTTGTTAACCTCGGTGGCGGCAGTAGCTGCATCTGTTGCATGTCTATAGGCCACGTGTGTGCATATGTGTGCACTTCAGCCCTATGTGTGTAAGGCTCAACACAATTTACATGCATCATTTGAATTTCCCCAATGACAATTTAATAAAGTAGTTCTTCTTCTTCTTCTTCTTCTGGGTTTATGTGCAGTAAACAACATGAGACATGTGTTTCCTAACTTGGGGTTTGGGAACCTGAATGTGTACCCAGGACAGATCTGAGGGGTAACAAGGAAACAGAATGTATTATGTTTACTTTTATGGACTTGTAAATAGTTAATACTTCAACTTTTGGGAATCAATGCTCTAGAATCTATATTTTCTCTGGCTTTCCTGTGGGATGAATGTGTTGAAATAAAAATAAAATAGATATGTTAAAATCTTCTTAGTGATTGTTTTTTATACTCATTGTATGCATTTAAAAGACTGGTCATCTTTAAATCCACATATTACCAATCTGTCAATCACAGGATAAAACATGAATTTGAGAACTCAAGTTGTTTAAAGTAGCAGTTTGAATCGATCACGGACACACAGCAGGAGCCCAGACACAAAAGAATATCTCATCATTAGCAACAGCTGGAGATTTATGACTTTTATTTTCCTCTGATAATGTAGCCTTTTGTAGTTTATGCTTTGATGCTGTATGCATTGCCAATCATATACTATTTAAAGGGACAATAGACATTTCATTTCATTTAGAATAATGACACCATCGGCGTTTGGAAAATGAAGGCTCTGTTTACGGCACGACGCAAGTGAGTCAACCATTGCGCAACCGAAAGAGGAAGAAGATAGCGCTTTATTTTTTTTAGCATACACTCAGAAGAGGACTGTGATTACTATGAGCAGCTTTGGGAATGTATGTATAAAATACATTATTGAATACATTTCTTGCTTTTTCTTCGGAAAAGTCGCTTTTTTTTTTTTACATAACTCGTTAAAAGGGTTTGAAAAGTCGGTAAACAGTCCAGTGTTGTAAGGTAGTTGTTAGGCACTGAGGGAAAATGGAAATTGATAGAGGCTACAACTACAACAAAATCAAATAAAGAATCATCTGATCATCAATCATCTGAAAATGAATCAACCTCTGTTAGAGCCAAGTTATTAAATTCGTCCCTTTCCCCGATGGTATCCAAGCTCGGCCTCGCTTTTTTCACTTTTTTTTCACGGTCATCCTTTCAAATCCAGCCTCCAGTTTACAGACTCGTACAAAACACGTAAACACATAATGTGTTGTGCATTAACTGTGACTGTAGATCGTACAAAGTCACAGTTGGGGAGAGAGCTTGATGTCAAACCCACTTTGAATCACTTAAGTTATAAGAAATGCAACTTTTGTATGTCATTCATCAGTTTTTATTGACCTCACCTTGAGTACCTCTTCAGGGGTCTTTCAGGAGAGCAGGGATTCCTCTGGCTCCCAATAACTCCAACACTGAAAGAACTTTAGACTTTGACTCATTCACCGTGAAGAAAACAGGCAACAAGGAATGATGGTGACGGACACCCTGATACGTGAAAGTAACACTAACAATGCCTGCAATAGCAGGTGTGTTTAAGTGCACTTTTCGTTGGGGTTCCTTGTTGACGGTTATGTAACCACTGTTCCTACGGTGAAAAGTCTTACATTAGTCAACTCTACCTGACCGCACAATCACATATAAGACTTTATGGAGGACTGATATCTTGATGAATCCACAGCCTCTGAGAAGTACTGTGTCAGAGCGCAGGGAGGCTACACATTACCGTTCACTGCGAGAGAACACCACCAAGCTGCTGCAGTGTAACCACACATCAGACTGGTCGGTATTCTGCTTTTTATGAGGGAGACGTCCGGTTACCAGGGCTCACAGCATCTCTTCCAGTTTTCTTGATAGAAAATGTTGGCTCTTATGTTTTAAACTGATTGCAGTGCAAACGCTGTTGTGTAACATTGTATATACTTTCCGGCAGCACTACACACATTTCATTGTCAATGTCACAAATCAAGAATATTAATCTAATGTAATCCCACATAAGTGGCAGATTATTGTTTTATCGCGAGATATGAAGACCTACAATTGTCACGGCTAACTCAATATTCAAATATGATGAGGTGTGATGTTAAACCTGTGATTGGCCTCTTACAAACTCTGCTCTGAGACTTCACACACTCCTTAGATAATTAGCTTGAAAACATTGTCTACTGAACACAGTCTCCTGGAGGCGTCGCATTGAATCCTGCTCTTCCGATCTGTTTCATGTCATCGTACTCTTGTTGTGGGACTACTTTTATACCTCAGTCATCCGAGGGCTCGAAAATTAGCCAGGGGCAGTGAAAACAAATAAAGAAAAAAAACCTCCTTGAGCGCCCACATGCTAATGAGAAAAGATGATGGGGATATTCATTTGAGCGAGACTAATTTCACCTGACATCGTTTTCACAGGGCAAGTAACCGTGGGGCGAATTAGGGCAGGATCTGACACGGTTGTGCGCACTAACTTGTTGACAGGGCATGTTCCAGCATACACTAAAAGACAAATCCCCACCACTAATTACATTAGTTCTGCCAAACCAAGCCTGTTCACACAGACTTTTTAGCTCCAGCGTAATACTGTCATACTACCTGCAGTCACGTTAACTCTCTTGGTGATCCAGAATGATGCTGACCACCGAGTAAAGTAGGATCATAGTGTATAGTTATGCCCTTTGGAAGGTTATGAGTATAAGTAATAGTACACCTACATACAGCTCTATTTGACTCTAAATGGACCATCATTTACTAAATGAACATCATGCTGTATTGAAGAAGACTTGAAACTAGAGATTGAGACCATAAACTCATGTTTACAATGTTTACTGAGGCAATAACTCAAGAGAGAAGTAGAGTCATTTTCTCATAGACTTCTATACAACCAGAGGAGTCGCCCCCTGCTGGCCTTTTGAAAATAATGCAAATTAATCGTAATTCCGACACAATGATTTAACAAACTTAACCATTGTCAATACAAGTGCAGCTTCAGAATGCTACTGATAGTTAAACTAGACAAAGTCAAAGTGGTTTTACCACGTTTTTTTTAAACTAGTTTTCATTTCTTCCAGCTGTGAGCCACACCTCCTTTCCTTTGTGAAATGCATTGTGGTAGAATAATGTCATCAATAAATCATATTTTCATTACCTGTAGTCTGGTGCCTTTTAACATGTGGTTTGATCCGGCTCAACTAGCATGATAAAAATGATGATTTTGTAATTTCATCCAGAGGATGTGGATGAAATGAGATGTATAGTATTATGAGTATTATATAGTATATTTATTATGTTCAATTCAAATATTTGAACACATTAAAGAGCTAAAAGTACAGCAATTGATGGAAAAAAATGAGAAATAGAGACACACTGAGACACATCTACTAAATCTTTAAATCATTTCTTCATTCATTTCTTAATCTAAACTTAACAATTATCAGGTGCCATGTTCTATCAACTACGGTAATGGTGGCACTGCAGTGACAATTAAAAGATTTAAACATAAAATAAAAAACTAAAGATTTAAAAAAGTGGATGGGTTGTCCAATTATTACAGTCAGAATGGTGCCATTTTAGATGAAAGATGGGGGGGGTCCGACAACAAACTTGATCTGACGGCTTATCTAATTTCATAGACATCCAATCATTAGGCTTTCTTTTGAATTACCTTGCATTAACCAAATATTAGCTGTTGAAAAGTAACAGAGGGACAAAAAGGAAGAGGAAACCGTGCCCCCCCCCCCCCATCATGACATGGCTTTTATAAAGAAGTCTTTTTAGCCCCGCCCCTTTGTGAGCAAAAAAAAAGGCTCAATTATTCCATTGCGTCTCTGCTGTCAGCTGAGTCCAGTTTAATTCTGCAGCATTGTTCTGGCTCACGTAAGGCCCTCGCTGCAACCCAGAATTCCAAAAAGCAGATTTTCTTTGGAGGAGTTATGATCCGTTAAACAATCGAAATGCTCTCCATTGCTGAGTAATTCTTTCTTCTTCTATATGTTTTATTTACTCTGGCTTCTCTGCGTCTTCATAATTGATTTTGTGTTAGATGTTAGAGTTTTATTACCCGCTGAATCATGACCGCTAACACCTCAGCATCAACCTCACAGGGCCATTTAAGACTCACTGCAACAATAGCAAATAAAAAATAAAATGCTGATTAAGTGAGAGTACAAGTGAGATGGTCCGAGAGTAAACAGATAGCTTCTGGGAGGTTAAGGAAGAAACACAGATGGTCATGAGAAAAAAAAGCCAATATGTACTTTTGTGTGTATTGTGAGGCTTCATCTGGAACAACGCAATACAACGTGAACAGAGGTAATATCTGAGGTTAGTCCAGTGCTCAGCAAGATTCTACTTTTCTTTGGTGGGAGCTTTCTATGGTCGTGTCTCAGGAACGTCAGCGCGAGAAAGTAACAGTGGAAAGTGGAACCAGTAAACGTCATCTCACCGTACGTCCACCGCGTCCTCCATCACTGTCATGTCCGTCTTGCACTTGGCCGAGGGGTTGATGGCGAGCTCGGCGGGCGGGATGACGAAGCTCTTGCTCAATGGCAGCCACATCCCTTCTCCTAAGGTGTATGTGAATCTTCAGAGGACGAGAAGGGCGGATTGGAAGAGCAGGTTACAGGTTACAGGTCAAAGAACAGCATAGAAACAGAAATGGGTAAACAGAAAAAAGGACAAACGCAGTTTTAAAGAAAGCTTTCGAAAAAACAGGATTGGAAAGCTTCTTCAAACGGGCTGTGCTGAGTTTTAATAGGTTAGTAAGCCGTTTACTTAAAGGGCCAGTGTGTAGGATCTGGCGACATCTAGCGGTGAGGTTGCAGATTGCAACCGACTGAAACTTCTTCCATGTGCCAATCCTGTAGGAGAACTATGGTGGCTCACACGAAAAACACAAAAAAGCGAATGGCTCTATCTAGTGTCGTTTGGTTTGTCCGTTCAGGGCTTCTGTAGAAACATGGCGGGCGGCTCTATGAAGAGGACCAGCTCCTTATGTAGGAATAAACGGCTCATTCTAAGGCAACAAAAACATTCTCATTTTCAGGAGATTACTCTCTAAAGAAATTTCTTAATAATATCACATTCCATTTCTGCCAATACATGCCCCTAAATGTTTCACACTGTACCTTTTAAGTTTGTTGATTGTTCATGCCTGATTAGCATAAATGATCCACTTTAAAATTCTCACTGTCACTTACAGAGCACTACACGGTCAGACTCCTGCATATATGGCTGAACTACTTTGCCCTTATTCACCAGCCTGCGCTCTCAGGTCAAATATGTTAAATGATCCATCTGTCCCACACACTCGCCTTAAGACCCGTGGTCACCGAGCTTTTGAGGCAGTAGCACCAAAGTTGTGGGATGCTCTGCCTGCACCCTGCGGTTTGCCAAGTCTGTGACTTTGTTTAACAATCAGCTCAACTCACACCTGTTTAGACTAACGTTTGGGTAAAATTCAAGCTCCAGGTCTGCATTAAATCTATGTTGTATTTTATTGTGCCTTCTTAAATATGTTTCATCTTTTCAAAACTGTTCTTGTAAGTTAGTGGCCCTTGTGTGGTCACCTTGTGTTATTTATGTTTTCTTCTTTGAAAAAAAAAATACCGCTCCTGTTAAGCACACAAGGGACTAAATCTAATTCCAAGGGAATCCATGCAGTAGCTGACGAGACATTTGACTACAATCAAACATGGAGATATTGAATTGGAAAACGTTGACCTGCTGGTGGCTCTAGATGGAAAGAAAGGGCATCACCAAAGTGTTTAGGGTGCATCATCTGGGCACCATGAATGTCATGGTGATAGAATGCTGCAGATAGGACGAAGTTGCGAAAGTTAGCATCACACCGCTTCACTCGACAAACAGCCAATGGGTTCCTCCATTGGATGTTGGAATATTGCAGAAAATCAAGTTAATGATACTTTCACGTTCTGATAATCTTCACAAATGAACATCACTTTTATGATTTCTGATGTGTGAATGCAATCATCAGAAGTCAAAAGCTAACGTTACGTTATGAACAAACTACACCACGGTCACATGACTTCGACACGTCACAAATACTAAGTATTTTATGTATATGTATGTATGTACATGTATTTTATTTATGTGTATTTTAGGTTGTAGAACAATATGTTAAAAATCTCTGCAGACCTTTCAGTCATCTAACCAAAAACCCATTGACTTGGAGACCAGGGAACCGGGAGAGCAAAACTGCTGACTCATTTCTGGGTTTGACTCATTCTTGCAGCACTTCCAATATCTGTTGACATATTTCATTCTGGGCCAAAGTGGTGGACGGACAGACCCGCTTCGCCATCCCTCGGCTAGAGAGTTGTTAAAAATATATATATATATATATATTATAGACTAAATATTGACTTTATGGGGTAAAAATAGCTGACAAAATGAAAAAATCCTGATCTTAATGTGTAAATCTGGCGCAGTTCCCCTTTAAAGTAAACCAGGGTCTATTGTTCCTGTTGTGCAAAAACAATATCCATATCCATGTCATGTCTACTGTTCAAAGAAAAATGTTTTTTTCTCTGCATCAGAGCTTTAAAATGACATCAAGGTTATTTATATTACCTTTGAGCAACTTATCCTTTTTTTAGAGCTCTTTCTTGAGCAAAAGGACACTCTGTGCTAATGGACACACGCATGCCAAATGAGAAACCCTGAACAAAACAAAAAAATCGGACAAAAGGACTTCCCCCCGAGACAAAACAGGGCTATATATATGTAAACAACGGAGGTCTGGAACAACAGCTTCAACAGGATTCTTTATCTGCGAGCCAATGAGGATCATCAATCTTTAAACACTGCCGACGAAACACAACACTCTCCAACTTTGAGCTTCACAGTGAACGCTGATTAACATCAAACGCATTATTAGCGCTGATGAATTATGCATGCATACTTGTGGCACAAAGGAGGGGGACTTGTTGATTAAATGGTTAACAGCCTTTTTATGTTTTTTATGCAGACTACACACATTCCCCCATTCACAATTGTTCAATTTGCATTTGGCAATTTGCTAACTTAGCATAAGCAAAGGGCAGCGTGCATGCATTACCAGTCGCTTTAAGAACACTCTGATTGCAGAATTGTGGAACACTTAATTACATCCACCCCATTACTTATTTTGCTTCAAAGTTGAGTTTTCAGCGGATCAAAGTTCTGCTGTTCGGCCATTCAACACCGGCTTCTAGCGACTTTGTTAAAAGCCTATTAAAATGCTAATATTTCAGCATTGCTTTTTTTCCAGCAAGCTGTTACCAACCCTCCCGCAAGTCATTGCGCCATCTCTTGTGGGACTGTCGGCAGCAGGTGTGATAAAACTCCCTGTGATGCAGGGTGACGTATGTATGTGCGAGCACGGGACAAATTAGCAGCCACTTAACAAGCGCTCCTGTTTAATGGACAACCAGGGACCAGTGTGCTGCTGTAGGACTCATGTGGTCCACCGCGAGAGGAACTGGAGGTGGAAAACACAGAGTCCCCGTGAGAAAAAAAGTTGTCGAGTGGAAAATATGGCTGCAGTCCTCAGAGCCCCCCCCCCCAGTTGATACTGTGCTGTGTGTGTGTTTGAATGCTGACTCTGACCATTTATCTCCTCTGACGCTGGAGTTTTTTGCATCCTAGAGTCTGCTTTGTTGCATTTTACTCTCTGTGTACCGCTGTGATTCTAATTGCCTCATTTGCTCCTGTGTTTAACGGTAATATCCGCTTTGGTGAACACGGCGGCTCTCCGAGCGCTCGCTGATGTCCAAGGTTTCTCTTTGGTCGCTTGGCGTAGTTCAAAACCTGGAGGCTGAACGGTTTTTAAATTGGGACGGATGGCTGTGCGGCAGCAGCCAGAGGACAGAGACGTTTTAAAGCACACGGCTGGATGGACCGAGAAGCAAAAGGGCCTCTTGGAGAATAATAAACACCCCAGCATGGAGGGCGATGTATTAAAGCACTTCATGGAGATATCAGCGCTGCGCCGGATGTAAAGATGACTGCTAACGGCCGAGGGAGCGGTACACACGGACTCCGTGGGCTTCCTTTTTAAATCGTGAGCAGTAGCTTGTTGTTTTTGCTGCTGCACTGTCACACTTGTGATGATGACTGTTGTGCATCCTGTTAGATCTCCTCTGTCTCGAGTAAAGGGAAGAAATGAATGTGAAGTAAAAAAATCTACTTTTATCTAGTCGTGCAGCTACTACAAGGACCTATTGTGTTGATTTTGGCGGCCCCCTGTTCTTCCAAACACCAGAGTCCCTTTAGAAAACCTCTCATTTTACTGCAGCAGGGTCTTCCTGGTTCTGGTTCTCCAGTGCCTCCCTTCTCTCCAGCTGGTTCCAGAAATACGGCCTGGGTCTCCAGCAGGGTGGTGTCGGTGTTAGCTCCCAGTGAGGACCAGGGGAGCAGCGAGGAGAAGCTCTGCTCCTGGAGGAGGAGGAGATGCTTCTTCCGGCTGCTGAGCTCTCCTCCTCCCTCCGGAGCTCCGACTGCAGGTAAAAGGAGGCAATGAAGCCGGATCTGGGTCTGTCCACGGTGGACCGGTCTCTGCTGGAGGATCTGGGTCTGTCCTCGGTGGACCGGT